AGGATTAATTATTTATCTTCGACGTCAAAGCGGTAGAAAAGATAGGGGAATATTGTGCAAATTTTTCTCAAACCAACTAGATTCAATAGGGCAAAGCGTAGAAACGTTGGAAATTAACGCGCATATTAAATATCAAACGTAACTCGAAGCGAACTCGTCAAAGCTACGCAAGATTCTTCTCTTCCGCGATCGCTGAAAAATCTTAAGAATAATTTTTAACGCGAGATTTCCTACTTGAGAAAAGAAATTCCTCCCCGGGAATAAAGGTGAAAGATAGGCGTGTTCCATTATTTCCTCGATGACGAACGGAAAATGGCGAGAAGATCGGTTTATCGACGCTTCTCCCGTTGAAGAAAGAAAAATATATTTCGACAAAATGGACACGAACCCATTTCCATCCACGATCGAAACGATACCGATCGCGGAAATTTTCCACCGCGTCTTCTTTTTTCCCCGGTGGAATTCTCACGAGTAACCGTGCCTACGGATCGCTACGTTCTACTTCCTCGTTGCCAGGATTTCTTAGGCGGCGGCGCAATCAGCGCGCATACCTGCGATACATTAATGGGACTCGTTCCTCGAGCGATGTGCGTGGCGCCAACAAAGAGGAAAGAGTTCTCTCCGCGATAAATCGGCACCAACCTGCGATAATAATCGATACCCGTTGCCCGCATAACGAATCGATTTACACGGACGTGTACCGGTACACGATTTTATCACCCGTCCGTCTATCGCGTGATTACGCCGCCGCCAACCTCCCATCGCCTCCTGCCTCTTCCTTCTTTCTCCTTCCTCTTGCGTCGATTCGATCTCGTTTTCTCTCTCTCTTTCTTCCCCCCTCCTTCTCTCGGCAAAAGGATTATTTACGAAGCGCAACGTTTTCAAATTGTTTCGTAGGCAAATATCTTTCGAACGAGAGAGGATATAGATAAGTGTATCGATAACGTGGAATATTTGATATAAACGTTTATATCGGAAGCAAACTCCTCTACCTCGAATATCTCTACCGCGTTTGATGCACGCGATATGAAAAATCCCACCGTTCGAGGAGATACGAGCGTGCGTTTGAGATCGAGAATGAGAAAAAGAGAGAAAGAAGGGCACGCGAATCGAAGGATTGGAACGAAAGCGACTGAATGTACGTTTGGAATGTTTGTATAAATTTTCAGAATTACGCGTAACAGATTCCAAAATAGAGGATGACTAAACGCGAGGATATTAATATACACGGTGAATTAATTAAAATGTTGCAAACTAGTTTTCCTTAAAATCGTTATGGATTAAATATGGATACGAAGGTAATAACGAATAATACAATAACATCAATTGCGATCCAACGTGTAATAAATTAAGTTAATCGATAAATTTTTTCACGGTTTCGTTCTTTTCTTTTTTTTTTTTCACGGTATCGATCGAACCGGTAATAAAAATTAATTTCAACTTCGCGAGAGGTAAATTTTATCGCAAATTTATTAAATTTTTTACACCAGTTAAACACAACCTCCAACGTGTATTTTTAAGGACAAAAGAAACGAGAAACGTTCGCATTCTCGATTACTAAAGAAAATATCCACGTATAAAATCATACACACACACACACACACACACACATATATATATATATATATA